ACTATTGGCATTCTAGATGTCACTCATAACCAGATCTTCCTCACCTAAAACATCCACAAATTATACAGTGAGAAAAGAAAACATCTATATGAACACAAGGAAAAACACAACATAATCTTATCATAACTCATCAATTAATGAAGTCTTTACAAGCATATCCATACATTCTAATTCTATCAATCATGCATCATATTCACATCACAATTTCACAATCACACCAATCTATCACAAATCTTGCAATTAACATTATGCCAACGTCACGCCACCATAAGTTCGTGCCACTCTAGACATAAGTAATACGTATTATTTGTCTCATTCATCCCACACTATGCCAGGGGCACGCCATCCCTGTAGCATCACTTACCCAGGGTCGTCTCATCCCTGGTCATATGTGTGAGGAACCATAATCACATCACAATCACAATCATCACAAATCTTACAATTAATACTATGTCAACGGTCACGCCACCTCAAGGTTGTGCCACTCTAGACATAGTGATACATGTTAATTGCCTCACTCATCCCACACTATGCTAGGGGCACGTCATCCCTGTAGCATCACTTACCCAGGGTTGTCTCATCCCTAGTCATATGTGTGAGGAACTACAATCACAATCATCACAAATTTTACAATTAACATTATGCCAACGGTCACGCCACCTCAAGGTCGTGCCACTCTAGACATAAGTGATACGTGTTAATTGTCTCACTCGTCCCACACTATGAGGGGCACGCCATCCCTGTAGCATCACTTACCTAGGGTCGTCTCATACCTGGTCATATGTGTGAGGAACCACAATCACATCACAATCACATCTCATTTCATGTCAACATACTCACATCTTGTTATCAATTCAATATTAAAATAGTAGATATAATGTATACATTTGTATGAAGGCAGCACACTACATTCCATATCTAGATCATCAATTTTACCAAATAATGTAACAATAATATTTATAAATTAATATAAAACCTAATAGAATCATCAATTTAGTAGAATCTTAACTCAAATAGTAAAACCCCCAATTTTCCAAAACCTAACTCATAGGCACTTTTCTACAATTTCGTTCTCTCTTCTAGAGCGTCATTTTTTACGAATTAATCATATATTCATAATTCTAAACACATACAGAATCTCATAATACCAATAATTTTCCAAACAGAAATAATTATAAAATTATTAAAAAATTCCCGCAGGAACTCTTCTCCACCCATTCCCTCATGTGACTCTACACATAAATTTCCCCTTTTTCCCGTACCTTGATAAGCAGTAGTTGAAACTAGAGCAGGATCTGGTTGGTCTCCTCCTATGGGTTCCCCTCGATCTTTAGAGAGTGTAGAAGAAAAGAAGTCATAACTGAAAGAAGTCAGAACTAAGGAGTGTGCTTTTTGGGAGTGCTAGAACGCTCTATTTATAGGCATCAGGAGTGGCCGGAACGACCCGTTCTGGACTCTTCGTCATGTGTAAAATTTCACATCCAGAATGGCCCGTTCTAGGGTTACATTTTAACCCATAACGGCCATGTTTGGAACGGCCCGTTCTCAAAACCAGAACGGCATGTTTCCAACTAGGGTTACAAGTCTTTTTGGTAATTTGGAACGTCCCGTTCCAGTTGGGAATGCCCGTTCTCAACTAAGATTTGTGGACAATTTTAGTAGTTTGGAATGGTCTGTTCCAGTTTAGGAACTGCCTGTTCTGGGCTACTAAATCACCCTTATTGAGCTTTGGGCCTTCGTACAATCTGTGAAAATTGGACTGTTACATATATATTGATTATATAGAGAGCTTTTGGCATAAGTTATCTATGTTTGTTATATCAAGTAGATGATGTTGGTGGATAAGAAATGTGACGGGTGCTAAGTGTTTTAATTTTATATATAAATCATTAGTCTGAGTTTATCCTAAATCTACTCAAATTAAATATAAATTTGAATGAATAAATCAAATTTAAATCAGACCAACCCTTAAAATAATTATTCCGAGTGGATATTATTTGTAGAAGTAATACTTAAGAATTTTAAAGCCAAAATACATTTTCATGTGTTTAGGTAAACTTCTTATAACCAATTAAAGAATTTATCATGTGATATCATTTTTTTATATGTCTATACTTTTTTGTTTGCAATTGTAACTAGAAATGGAAATAAGTCAAGCCAGATTAAGCTTTGAATACATAGTTTGGATTTGTTCTAAAAAAAATTAAAGTATAAATATGACTTATTATTTATTATAGGTGTTTTTTATAAGTCTGATCTGACCGTTTTAAGGTCTAGCCTGATCTATTAACTTATTTAAAAGCATATTTAAATTATTAATATTAATTAGGCCAATAAACTTAATTTTAAAAAATCAACAAAATTATTTTTAAAATATAATTTATTCAATATTGTTAAAAATTAAATTTAAAAAAAAATATAAGAGAAAAATTGAATCATTTTCTATTGAAAGAACAATTCATATGTAATCATGTATGGTGATGTACAGTCATGCACAAATTGTAAGCTTATAAATCTATAATGAAAAGAAAAAAAATGTATAAAAAAATATTTTAAATCATTGATATTTTATTTTTGTTTTATAAATTTATTTATATTTTTATATTTTTAATCATATATATATTAATTTTTTTATTATATTATAAAAATAAATAGACTAATTTATCAAGTCTAACAGACTTTTCTATAAGTCTAAGTCTGACTTTTTTTTTATATAAATAGACTCTTTTTAAAATATTTTTT